TACTTCCTGAAATATTCAGGTTTACAAACTCTCGTATTGTTACCACTTAATTCTGCTCATATACTTATTTAACATGTATTCTTAAACCTTAATTTACACACACACACTTTAACATATGATTGTGGGTTGCATATTGGATTATTACATTATTTATGTTCTTTTGTTAAAGGTAACAACTAAAGGAAAGGGATTGTATATAATTAAGAAAAAAAAACATGAAAAAAAAATGAAAAAGAAAAAAAGAAAAAAAAAAGAAAGAAGAAAAAAAAAATAATGATAATAAAAATGTAGATAAGTTTGGTTTCGTAGCCTCCCTAACCTAAGCAATTAAGCCCGAAGGGGTGTTTTAACACCTAATACCCTAAAGTCAACTGACTTGGGAGCTATTGGCCCAACGCTTGTTACATGGGTTGAGGAGAAAAGCTTAAGGAAATCAAACATTGCAATATCTACATATCAGTATCTGCGACCCGAATTACTAAGCTCGTAGGGGTGTCTTAACACCTAATGCCCTAAGACCAACTGGTTTGGGAGTCATTAGCTGAAAGCTCGTTACATGGGTTAAAGATGCATGATGTTTTTAAATTATATGTATATAGAGTTTAAAAAAAAAAGATAAAAAAAAGGACAAAAATAGTAATCCCAACCCAAGGAAGTTAACCTTAAACATTAGAACAAAAAAAAAAAAATTGTTTTCTTCCAAGAAAAGCCCCATAATTATTTGTTGACACATTAAGCACAAAAGAAAGGTTTATTAATATCTTGTTAAGAGGTATTGAGCAGATATATAAATTTCATGAGAGTTTGTTTATCTGGATAGATTAATGGAAGTTAAATGATGAATACCTTGCTTTATGGAATTTGCAAATTGTTTTAACGCTTTGATTACTAGGGACTAGTAATAAGCTGGTTGGGGGGTGTGATTAGTACTTAAAAGTGCATTTTTGTCATGGTTTTATATCATCATTTTGCACTTGAAGTATCAATAACTCCTTAACTAAAGCATGTTTTATAATAATATATCTAATAATATAAGATACCTTTAATTTGTGGTAAATGTTCATTTTAAATGCAGGCCTATCACATAAATGAAAGGATTGATTGATGACTTTAAGAACTTAAATTGCAACAGCAAAGAGATGGTCAAACTTAGAAAAGAGATGTCGGTGCAATCCAAACCGGAACACTGTTCGGTAATTGGGTCATATCTAGAGCTATATATCTCAGATTTAGGTCCAATTTATATGGATGGAAAGGTAAGACATAGGCCTACAACTTTCATATGGAGCCCAAGATCTAAAAAGGCCATTATCAAGTCCAAATTGTAGCAACAACAAAGAAGCCCGAATCTGTCTTCCAGCCCGAGCACTGTTCGGTATTTTGGCCATATCTGGAGTTCTAGAAGTCCAAATGAGCTGAATGTTTTACACAAGAAAGCTGAGACAATTGCCTACAACTTTCATGTTTGCAACTGGCTCCAATTTTGACGTTATCAATGACGTTTTGGGCAGACAAGAGAAGATAAGGATTGTCACTAAGTCAAAAGTTGGCCACCCACTTATCAATTAGTCATCAAATCAATAGTTCCCAATTTTGGCCTATAAAAGGAGGCATTTGCCATGCATTTAGGCATCTTGGTTTCCAGATCAAGATCATGCTCTTCTTTTCTCTCTTTGTATTTTTTGTAATGTTTATGCTTTACTTTCATTAACATCAAGTTTATGCCTTTCATTTCCTTTCCTTTACTTAGTTAACTTTTATGTTCTTATTTTGTTTATTTGTTTTCCTTTCTTTCATTATGTCTAGCTAAGTTAATTATGTCAAGGTGAAAAGGTTACACTAATGGTGTGAGAATAAGTATAATGTAAACTTAATATGGACTTTAATGTTTGGTACTAACATGTTTTATATTTGTTATCTTGTTCACTCTTTAATACTTTGCTTGTTAAATGACTAATCTTGATTTATGTTGTATAACACTTGGTACAACAAATGCTTGGCACTTTCATAGCCCATAATGTATGGTATAACCGACACCTGAGCTATGAAAGGAACTTGATTTGTTGTTAACATAAGTTATAATCATGAATGCTTGACGAGATTTACAAGTATTAGCATTAATTGAATAAGATGACTAATGTAATCATGTTAACAATATATAATCTGATTGGAACCTCCTTTGTGTGTGGTTTCCAATTCAATAATAAGAGTTTATACTATACTTGTTTGATATACCATTAGTGGAACCTCTAACCTTGACATTTGTTATTATTATTGCTTAATCCTTACATTAATATTTGATCTCCAAGTTCTCATCATCATCATCTTCTTCTTCTTCTCTTTCTTTATTATTATTATTATTATTATTATTATTATTATTATTATTATTATTATTACTATTGTTGTTGTTGTTGTTATTGTTGTTTTATAATTGTTGTTTATAATTTGTACAATTAACCTCCCTGTGGTTCGACCCCGGTCTTGCCGGGTTATTTATTACTTCGACACTCCTGCACTTGGGAGAAGACATCAACCTTTTAGTCGTGTCAGTTGCCCTCTAATTTATTTATTTATTATTTTTATTGCACCCTTATTGTTTTAATCACCATTTTTGTTTCATGTTCTTTTCTAGAATTTTATCCTGATTTCATTCTTCATCATTTGATTTGCCAAGGATTGACTTTTGTGATTTTTTTATATATGCTTCTTCTAGTTTAATAACCTAGATTATGAGTTTTAAAAGTTAATGTGGATCAATATCTTATTTCTTTGGCTTTTTTTTTTTTAATTTCATCCTTCAACTTTAGTTTTTTATTTTTTAAAGATTGTCTTTATGGTTTTCTTTAATTTTTTTATCATATTTTTTTTTATTTCATGACCAAAGCCACGAGTTTTGCAAGTTAATTCAGGTTGGCTTGCCCCTTATTAACCAGGTTACATTTCTATAATGTTACCTTAAGCTATTTTTTTAATTTTTTAATCCAGTTTTGTACTTTCAATGTTCTTGTTCAATTTTTTTTTTTGTTTATTATCATTACCTATGTTATTATCGTTTAATTAAAATAAAATCAAATTATTAAACTTGATTGAGGATGTTGTAATGTGCACAACATTGAATGACAAGAATTATCATCTAGTATTATAGTCACTATAAAATTTTACTAAAATTTGAGATTTTTTTTTAAGTATGGGCTTTGATTTATATAAATAGTTTAAAAAGTTACTCTTAATTTTTTTTTTTAAATATGAGCATTAGACCCATTATGGAGATTTTACCAAGTATATATTTTGAATCCATCTAGACTTAACAAGTTTAACAAAAAAAATTTCTCAAAGAAAACATTATATAAATGAATAAAATACCATATTCAATAAAATAAAAATATTCATTACATGATTAAAAACCTCATATGACCAAGCTTAGGTATAAAGCTAATAGGGGTGGGGGAGAGGCTAAGGCCTTAACATCAAGAAAAGTCTCTCCAGCAAGGTATACTCTGTGTTGGGTAGTTGGAATCCTGACAAGGAAGACACCAACAAAGTCAGGCATAAGGATTGGATGAAAAGCATCATTAATGTCTATCTAAATTCCTTTTGATAAGTTGAAGAAATACAAGTTGAACATAACAAGGAAAGTCTTATCCTCAAGTATCTTAGTTAATGTTACAGACCTTTCAAACATCTCTTGGAACTCCTTAGAAAAATTCCTCAAAGCTTTTATCATTGCATAAGAGTTTTAGGCTTTTTCTTTGTCGTTAAAAAGTTCAATCCTTACCTGCTTCATGAAAGCCATTTCATCATAAGCAAGATGAAGCTCTCTCTCAGTAGAGTTCAATTAAAGGATCTGAATTATTATATTATCTTTTAACACAACATAGGCTATCTTGAGCTCCCCTAGCCTCTATAGGTACGGGCTCAGTCCAATTAGATATAATTCTAGCAAGCTACCAAACTCAATATCTTGGAGTTCAACTACTCACTTAGTCCAAGAGAACATAAAATTGGTGAGTTGCCGAATCTAATATCTTTGGATTCAGCTATGGGTTAACCCTAAACAAACATGAGTTTGACGAGTATTCAAATCCAACATCCTTTAATTCAACTATGTGCTAAAGCCAAGCGAACATGAGTTTGATGATCTTACAAACCTAATATCCTTGGGTTTAACTATTTGTTAGGCTTGCGCAAATATAAGTCTAATGAGCTGCTAGACCCAACACCATTAGGCTTGGTTGTACGTCAAGCTCATTTGAGCATGAGTCTAGCAATCCCATCGACCTTGAGCTTGGCTATGTGCCATGCCTATTTTTGCATGAGTTTGACTTATTGTCATACTCAATTACTGTAGGCTTGATGGTGAGCGAAGGGCTAAATGTCTGAATATTTTTGTAAGTCTAATATTGGGCTATAAAACTCTGTTTGTTTATTCTTATGATTTTAACATAAAATATTAATATTATAGATATTTGTCTCCCTCACCTATAAGTATATAAAAAATCTATAAAAGACTTGTCATATTTTTTTGTTCTTATTAATATTATATAAGAGATATTTAGCCTTCGTTAATACTATTATGAAAAAATAACTCTTTAGCCTCTCATCTTTAGAAAAAATAATAAAGTTTAGGGGATATAAATACCTCTTAAACTATTTAAATAAATGGTTTATAATTTTTATTTTTTACATGAGATCAATACTTTTAAATCTCCGAATAAAAATAAGAACAAAGACTTTTGTTATTGAAATTTAAAATTTATTTTCTTATTTATTATAGTTTTTTTTTTTAAATTATTGACATAACCATCTAGAACCCTTTAAATTCCATTTCAAAAGTCTGTTTGCAGGTTTTACATCTTTTACCATCAATCATTAAACACAGACACAAAACAAAAATTCATATTCGATATGTTTAACTTTCTTAATTTTACCCGCATGCATATATCCCAATCAGGTGTACATCATAAATTTTATTTCAAAAACTACAAAAACAAAAGAATAATTGGAGCTGATCCGGTAAGATGTGATGGTTTTGCAGCGTCCAGAAGGTACCCAAAGACTAAACATCATTTTTCCTTCACTATATTGGTCACTCCCGCCTGCTTGCCAGTGGAACCACCTCAGCCAGAGGAGTCGCTAGAGGTGAAGGCAATGGAGATGTTCTACAGACTGGACAAGTTGGGTGCAGCCTCAGCCACGGGTCAACGCATCTGAGGTGAAAGAGATGCCCGCAATCAGGCAGCAACCGGAGCTTGTCAGTGTTCTTGTAATCTGCCAAACATATGGAGCAGCATGTAGCAGTGGAGCCTGTCTTGTGTAGCTTGGCCTCCGAATACAGCAGTGTAGGGTAGCTATTTAGAGTGGCCTCATCAAGCCCTATATCGACGACAAAGTTCTGCTGGTTCAGCTGCTGATCTGCAACATTTCTTGCTTGTGTTGGCACCGATGCCAGTTGTTTTCGCGTGCAAAAATAGGAAGTCAAAGTGATTGTTGTAATCAGCACCAGGATTCCAATAGAGATACCGATGCCATAGCCAAATCCACCAATGTTGTTAGAGCCAAGAAATCCAGAATCCCCTGCTGTGCTATTCATGTCCTCAAGGAATATTGAAGGGAGAAGCTGGAATTGGAATTAGAATTGGATATGTGTAGTGCTAATGGTTTGGTCAGCCATGGCTATGGCAAGAGAAATTAATTGTCTATTTGGGGTGTCATAAATTTAAAAAAGTCAATGGTAAGATGGGATAGATAAAAGAGTATTGTCAGAGTTTTAATAAAGGGAAGATGTACTTGGGCTTTGTAGTAAAGAGAGGGCAATCCGAGCCGAGCAATGCATGTGAATACATACGTTTTTCAAATCTTCTATCAGTCTATTAACTTATTTTTTAAGCTCGACGGTTCTCATAGCCTTAGATTTACGCTAGTCATGATATGATTAGTAGATTTAAAACACTCCTACAATCTTATGTAATTCTCTGTGTGCGTGCAACGCACGATCCAAGTTGATAATATATATGCATTCTTGCTTACTATTTTATTCAAGTAAGGTCAGCCATTACTTCTCACAGGAAGGTATACAGAGCCTAAGAGTTGTTTCTTGTCGATCTGTGGTGTTTGCTAACTGTTATATATATCACAGGCAATTACCATGAATGAGGCTGGCGATAGTGGTAAGCACCTGCATCATGCAAAATTTAAAGATTCTTCCTCCTTGTTTCTCTTTGTTCTGTCTCAGTTGCAGGCGATCTCAAAATACTCCTCATGTCAGGTTAAGGATGTCACAAGGGGTGACTGGCTGGTGGTTGTTGCCGCTCCTCCCGTAGCCATATCAGTCGTGTCATTTTTCTGTATGTTGTGAGGCTGCGGTGGGATTCTGCTTCTCACGAACTACTGCTTCTCTGGGATGACTGGCAGCGTTTTCACATATGTTTATTAATCTGTCTTCATCATTCATTCTTGTCTAGTCACCGGCAGATTCGGGACATCCTTCAACCGCAAATGGCAGACCTAGAGACTTGAGTCCCTCGATACACTTAAAATATGAAAATTTTATGATAATTAAACTGTGATTATCAATATATAATTATAAAAAGAGAGAAACAACAGGAATTCTTATCAGAGAAACAACAGGAATTCTTATCGGGGTTTTTGTTTGTTGTTGCAAATATCGTTTTTTCTCTTTAATTTTTATGTCTATTTCTTTTTTAATATTAAAAATATTGGTAAATACAGTTTGAATATCATTAGGTTTTTGTTAAAAGATGGTGACGAGAATGTTTAGAATTGGACTTTTCTTGTATTGGTGTTTGTTGCTCGGACCCTTGAGCGTTCTTCTTGCATAACATAATTTCATTTTTTATGGGGTACACTTATTTGCCTAGAACTTTCGGCCCGCTCAAACCTTTCTTATCTTCATTTTTCTTTGAGGATCCTTTCTTTTAAAAATAAATTAAAATAATATATATATTTTTTCAAAATTATTTGTAATATTGTCACATTAAAATAATTTAAAAATATAAAACAATTAAATTTAATAGCACTACAACCACCGCCATTCTTCAGCCCTTTGCCTGCTAGGTGTGCAAAGAAACCATCCATGCCACCACTCCAGCTTATAATAATAACACAACTATCTAGGTGGTGGCCAAATGATAAGGACTTGAGATCAAGGGGTTTGTTTCCTCTATGGTCTCAAGTTCGAGTCCTTGGTTGCTCATATGATGGCCACTGGAAGCTTACATGGTCGTTAACTTCAGGGCCCGTGGGATTAGTCGTGGTGCGCGCAAACTGGCCGGACACCCACGTTAATTTAAAAAAAAAAAAAAAATAACACAACTACAGTCACAAGATGCAGTAGAAGCTTTAAAAGTCCTTGAAAAGTCGAGGTCCCGACTGATACTGATGAGAAGCTTTTCTTCTGGGTCGGCCTGGGACTCAACTTTACAGTCGATTCTAGCAACAGAACAATAGAGCCAGGACGGAAAAAACAAAAGAAGATTTTTGAAAAAAAATGCAAATCTCGCAAGGTTAATTTATAATTCAAAAGGAGAAATTAAAATAGAAGAAAGAGTGAAGAAAATGAAAAGGTGAAAGGTAAAAACACAGACCTGCCTCACTTATGAACTCTGCAAGAAGCTAGAACAAACCGATTTTGTTTACCAATCAGCGATCGTTGTGCCTAAACAATATCTTAACATTTGGCGTGATTCAATGCATGAAAAGATTAATGAGAACTTTGCAAGACCTGCTGAGAATCAAGATGTCAGAGGAGGAGAAAAATGAGGAGGGGTAGTGATGTAAGAAACCAACAAAAACCCTCTTCCATCACATCCCAGCCTCCATATATATATATATAGCTCAAGGGCTAAAACGTGACAACACTATTAAAGCCCACAGTAAATTTTCTTTTTGAACACGATATCACTTCACATCTTAGTTTTTTTTTGGTCAATGGGAAGTGTATTGTAAGTCAAAGGTTATTAAGTTTAACCTCCATGTAAAAACCATCAGTATCTTTGTAAATAACAATACTCCATGATATATGTTTTAAAAATTTCAATATCTTGAAGTTAATTTTTAAATTATAATAATTTAATGCATTCTTTTTAGTTAAAATAACTGATGCTTGATATACCTATAAAACATATTTTTATGGTGAATTTTAGGACTTTCTAATACCTAAGTAATTATCTATTTTAGAGAAAATATAGTATTATGTTAGAAAAAAGATCTAAAAATAAATATATATTACATAATAGAGATTGAAAATCCACATTTTTAAATGATTAATGGTGTATTTATGGTTCATGAGTGTGTCTTTAGGAAGAAGGGGTTAAAATATTTCTAATAGTTTTAATAAGAAAAAAAATCTCTAACATATGTATTAATAAGTGATAAATATTTTTTATATAAACATTAATATTAATAGAAATATAGGAACTCTTTACATAATATTTATGTTAATAAAAATATAATAAATCTTGAAAAAGATTTTTTTATATCTAAAATTACAAAGAAAATAAAAACCAAAATATAACTAATTACATTTAAACTGATCTCTTTTTTAAATTGTGCTTACGTGAGATACGTATTTTTTCTAGGCATTATAGATGTTTTTTTTTAAGGTTCAGCCTATAATATAGATATAAACTGTCTTTTAAGCTGAGCCCATGATAACTACACTAAAATTAGAGAGAATTGTAATTTTCACATTCTGAAAGCAGAAAAACTTTCACTTTACACAATATAATAGAAAATTTAACCACTTCACATAGCTATTAACCGGATCAATTTACTGTTTTCTTTTTTGTTCCTAAAACTTTGAGAAACAATTTTTAAGAAATAGAAAATAAATAGCGATGGTAGAAAAGATTAATACCTAGAAACATGAAAAAAAATAAAAAATAGTGCGGCAATATATAATAATAACTGCAACAATATCAAACGGGCCTTAATAAAGAGTTTTTGTCAAATTTGGAGGGCGAGCTAGAGAGTCCGAAAAATAGCCCACTAAGTTTAATTTGGGCCATCAAAGTATGCCCAGGCCAATGCAGCCCAATCCTCCTTCCAGCAAGAGATTCCTTCCCTCTCTCCCTCTCCCTCCCTCCCTCTCTCTCTCTCTCTTGCGAAGTAAAAAATTAATAAAAAGCTAAAAACCACAAAACACCCGACCAAAGCAACCGCCTGAGAACAGAATGACAACGTTGACAAGAGTGCTAAAACCTCTACTTTTATTCCTCGTAACAATAACATCATCAACTATATTGCCTGTACAATCAGACAACACGAACCATGTCTACTCACCCTGTGCAGACACCACTGTACAGGTATCAGATGGCTTCACTTTTTCTATCGCTTTTTCGTCGAGGACGGCTTTCTTCTTCAACAGTACCCTACAGTTGTCTCCCTGTGACAGCAGACTCTCTCTTACTAGCCAGAATTCTCAGATCTCAGTTTTTAGACCTAAAGTCGACGAGATCTCTCTCCTCACCATCAACACCTCATCTTTCTCTCCGGTTAGTTGAACCCCCACTCTCTTTGTATGCTTTGTGGGACTCTCTTTGTATGCGTTCTTTAATTTTCTGTTGTTTTTTATTTGGATATTTTAAATTAAGTCAATTTTGGTTTTATCCCTCGACTGGATTCAAAACATTGATGGTGCCCATCCCATAGATCAGTTTCTTTTTTAATTGATTAATCTTTAGTGCTAATTAAGTCCATTTATATCTGCCATGAACATGAACTGTTCATTCTTGCTCGGCCAAGAACAATTGAAATCTTTTCCTTAATGTGTTGTGTCTTAGACTCCCACAAAATGCAGGATTCGGCAGTTTGTTGGGAAATAGTTGTTACAGCTAGAGCAGGCATTTAGTTGAAAAATGCTGACAAAGAGTTACCTGGGTTGTAGAAATAGAAGAAGATTTTATTTAAAGTAATTAAATAAACAAGGTATCTGTGCCTTTTGCCTACTTATAATCAGCTTGAAGTGTTGAAAATGTTCATTAAGGAGTGTTAAGATTAATTCACGTTCTTCCAATTGTCAGAAAATTATAGATAAATTGAGTTTATGGAGTAAAGGGTGCAGTGAGAGATCTGGAGACAAAAGTTGAAAGAAACAAATGTATATACTCTTAGAGTTCATGTGTTGCTTATTTGTTTTAGAACTATAATAAACAATGAGTATTTCTAGATTCCAGTGAGATGTTATCTTAACACAAACCAAAACCAGAGTCTAGCGTGCCTACAAGATAGACTGTCGTTCGCACTCGGAAATAAATAATCTCTTTCATTGCCATGACGAAGCATCATTTTTAAACGTCTTTCACCACAATACACATGTTGCAACTGTAACAACTGTTTAACCTTTGTCACTATAACTCCTATGTACCTTACTCTTCCTCACCTAAAATGAAAAACTAGCAGCTGAAAATCAAAAGACTACTAAATTTTGACTAAGAGCAGACTATTTCAATGGACCTGTAGTTAAAATTCATTCTCCCAGGAATGTCTAGTTTTTTTAGCTGAGATCTGAATTGAGCTCTTTACAGATGAATATTATCTGATAACCTCTCCATAAAAATCCACATTCATTTATCTATATTTACACCAGATAGCAAATAACTTACCTGCAATCTCACACAGTGAATATTAATTTGTTGATAGCAATATGCATGTTTATCAAGTCATGCATGGTAGCAACCTAGGTACCGTAGCCATAAGGCTGGTTATAAGTGATGGTACTAGTGGCTTTCAATCTCTTTTTTTGTATCCCCTTTTGTTGGTGACCGGTATCAACCGAGGTATCCATAGCTGCACTGGCTATAAGCTCGAGAGTACTTTTATTCAGTTTACTGTATCCCCCTTTTTAATTGGTGCTTTGCAGGGCGATTATGGTGGGTATATGGTTGCATTTGCCGGTCGAAAATATGCTGCAAGGTCTCTCCCTGCTTTTGTTGCAAACAGTACATACACTGTGACAAGCTTCACTCTGGTAAGAGACGATCCAGGACCCATTATGATCTCGATTTAGCTTCATAAGATCATCAGGAACCCATTAAATTTCTGTAATGCAGGTGCTTGAGTTTAAGAAGGGAAGGCTACAGAACTTATATTGGAAAAGGGATGGCTGCGCTAAATGTTCAGGAAACTCAAAATTTGTCTGCCTCAACAATCAGGATTGTGCAATCAGAACATCCAGTTGCAAAAAGAACGGAGGTAGTGTTGATTGCAGCCTTGGGATACAATTGGCATTCTCTGGCACAGACAAACACTTTTCTGCTCTAAACTCATGGTACGAAGTGGAAAACCTTCGACAGTACTCGCTTTACGGTCTTTACTCAAATCTCAGGGATTCTCTCACCAGTCAGTATAACAGTATCTTCTAATTGTGCTTTAGATGGTTTGTAGAGTTTTGGTTTCCTTGAATGCTGTAACTTTTTCCTCATATCTTTTCCAAATGGTGCAGACCTTTCTCTTCGGTCGATGCTCCTCTCTGTTGTATCTTTTCAGAGCTGTTCTGTGTAAATTTACATGCGTGATAAGTTATTTGCTATGAATGTTAAACGAGATTAAAATGTTTGGAATCTGCCCTTTTCATGATGTTTAAATGCATATGCCCGAGGTTTTTGAATTGTGTATGCCTACATCTGGGACGAGATGATTGAATCCTCTCTTCACCGACCATATTGTTTGGAGTGGCTGCTTTTGTGTGTGATAGTTCGTCGGCAACCACCTCGTTTCGGACAAATAAAGATGGTTTAATGGCATTTTGTCACCCAAAACTACTGGGGTTGCCGTCAAATGAGGTCTGTACTATTAATTTTATCAATTTTGTTCTTAAACTACCTATTTGGAACAAATAATGTCTTTTTCTTATTTGAGTTTTATTATTGATCAAAAACTATTTTAAAAAAATTTCTTTATTTGATACTTTGAGTTAGGATTCTCAATATGTGCTAATAGTCTACTTTAAAAAATTATTTCAAAAAAGCATTTTTTTTAATCATAAACATTAAACATTAGCAAAATTGTAAAAAATAGAAAATGATTTGGAATGATTCCAATTTTTGTCGGGATCTAAAATATCATATAAATTTATTTGCTTATTTTTAGTATGATTTTCCAAGTATTTGCATGGCGAATGCTTTATACCTAGCTAAATTAAAAGCAGCTTAATTTTAGAAATTATATACACAGAAATCTAACGAACCGTACTAAAATTACTCATGTAATTTCATATGACCTCTTCAGAACTCTCAGATTTTTCAAAGATAATTGCAGCCTATTTTCTGTTTTTAATGTTTTATTCAATTTCTATTGTCTATAAAATAAACAAATATGCCTTTTGGCTACAATTTTTTTTTTTTTTTTTGTGAAATTGGATTGAATTTTCTTTAGCATCAATGAAAAATCTCAGTTCAAAAAATCAAAGTATGAGTTTTTTATAAAGAATCTTTAGTCAAAACTGACGATAAAATCAAAAGAAGGGACAACATATACTTAAACTACCATAATTCAAGGATAACATTGATGAAATTAAAAGCGCAAGCCTCATTTCACAACAATCGCAAGAGCAAAATGTGCCGTTAAACCAAATATAGACTGTATGATGTGATGTTAAGATGCATCATCATGAAACTTGGATGGTTAATGAAAATTTGAAAGCGTGATTGTAATTATTTTTTAAAATATTTTTTATATTAAAATATTTTTTTTATTTAATAAAAAATATTTTTAAAATAATCACATCAAAACAATTCAAAATACACAAAAAAATAATTTAAAAAAAATATTTTTTTTAGAACATGTTTACACTATGTTTCTAAATGACGGTGCACTACAC